TTATATATTATTTACTTTTTTTTGACTTTCATTCAAAAAGTTATTTTATGTTCATCCATATCCATATGAAGTCTTTTTAAATGTAATAGCCTGTTACTTATCCATTTCCAGTTTTGGTTAAAGCAGCTATGAACACTTACATACAAGTCAAATGACTGAATACTAATCTCTCTCTCTCTCTCTCTCTCACACTCTCTCTCTCCATATATATATATATATATATATATAAAATCCATTTACCTGTTGACAGGAACCCAGGCTGATTTCATACTTTGGCTATACTGTTGGAATAAATGTGGGTATACAGGTATTATTTATGTATACTGACTCCCTTTCTTTTGGGTGCATACCCAGGAGTACAGCTGCTTTATATGATAGTTATTAGCAGTGTCTTTAAAGAGCAAACATTTTTTAAAACAGTGTAATAAGCATTTTTTGTTTTTATTTTTATTAGTAATACATAATACAGGAGATAATTTATGTTCCTTGTGGGTAGTTGTTACATGTATCTAACACATCTTAATTCTTTTTCATCCATTGTATTTCCCCTCCCTTGCCCCTCATTCCTTTTCATGTGAAAAAGATGACCTCTTGGGCATTTGAGACAGAGCTCCCTACTTTGTTTTATCTATCAATATTTTATTTTTAAATGGATTATATTTTAATGGAGTCTTATATTAGAAACCTGTGCCTAATCAAAAAATCACATATATTTTCTTCTATGTTTATTTCTAGAAGTGTCATGTTGTTAGATTTTATACTCAGGTCTATGACTCATTTTGAGTTGATTTCTGTTTATGGTACAAGGTATGAATCTGATGTTCATATTTTTGCCTAAGAATATCTACCCTGAATTCTATAGACTGGGTGGCCTGGGGTGAGTGTCCCCGCACCATCCGGAGCCCTGGGAGGGAGTTTAAGATCATTGCTCCTGCCAGCCAGGGAACTTCAGGCTTCCTGCTGCACTAAACCAGCTCAGCAGGGCTTGGGCCTGCCTGCAGGAACTTCCCAACTTCCTGCCTTGCTCTGCCAGCTCTGGGGATTTGGGCCTTCCTGCGCCCTCAATTCTGGAGACTGGACAGCCTGGGGTGAGTGTCCCCACACTATCCAAGCCCCAGGAGGGAGTTTAAGATTGTTGTTTCCACTGGCCAGGGAACTTTATGGCTTCCTGCTGCAATGAACCAGCTCAGAAGGGCTTGGGCCTGCCTGCCTCACCCCCTATGCCCCTCTCTCAATCCAGGGAACTGGGTGGCCAGAGTCCCAGGAGTGGAAAGCATAGAAGAGGATTTCCAACAGGCCCTGGGAAGCCTTGTAATAACACTTGAAACATGAAAATATAGGAAAATGACAAAATGAAAGACCAAATACAATCTCAATCCTCCAGCCCATCCCAAGAAACATTAGGAATTATGTACATAGAAGAAAACATAAGCCATACACCTGAAATACCTGAAATAATAGCAACTGAAATAAATAAGCAACTCTGGGAAATTTTAAAGAAATTCAAACTAGAAATAATCTCCCAGGTAAAAGAAGAAATGATAAAAGAAATGAAAGAGATGCTGAACATATCTAAAGAAGACACAGATAAAAAATTAGAGGAACAAAACAAAAAGATAGAATCCCTGGACGAACAGAATACATGAAGCAGATTCAAAGAGATATACAGGAAATCAAAAATTCCATTGAAAATTGTAAAAACTGCCTCAATGAAAGTGAAGATAGAATTTCAGACCTCGAAGACAAGCTTGCAGCTAGTGAACAGGAAAGGAAAGATCTTTTAAAAATAACAAGGAATCAGGATATAATAATTCAACAGCTGCAAAATGATGCAAAGAAAAACAACATATGATTGATAGGGATAAATGAAAAAGAAGGGGACAACATAAAGGATATCAAGAGGCTATTTAGAGAAGAAATAGCTGAAAATTTCCCAAACATGAGAATGGAAACTGACATCAGGACCAGTGAAGCATACACAACTCCAAATAGTCATAACCAAAATAAAACTACAACCAGACATATAATAATTACCATCCCAGAAATCCAACATAAGAATAGAACATTAAAAAGCTGTCAGAGAGAAAAGACAGATCACCTATAAAGGAAAACCAATCAGAATCACAGTAGACTTATCAGCACAAACAATAAAGTCAAGAAGAGCATGGAGTGAAGTTTTTCAGATCCTAAAGGAAAATGATTTCCAACCTAGACTGATGTACCCTGTAAAACTGTCCTTCAAAATTGATGGAGGAATGAGATACTTCCATGACAAAAAACAGCTGAAGAACTTCATGATCACCATGCCAACCCTGCAAAGAATATTAAAACACAGTTTAGATACACTAAGTTAAAAACCACTAAGCAAAGCAGAAAATTGAACAGAACGGAAAGATAAAGATGCAACAGCAGAAAGATAACATGTCAATAATAAACCAACATATAATAGTTATAACCATTAATGTAATTGGTCTCAATGCACCAATTAAAAGAAACAGACTAGCAGAATGGATCAAGAAAGAACATCCAACCATACGGCTGTTTACAAGAAAACCACCTAACCCAAAAGGATACTCACAGACTGAAAGTCAAAGGATGGAAACAATACTTCATGAAACAGGAACCCCCCCCCAAAAAAGCAGGGGTAGCTCTTGTTTACAGACAATGTGAACTCCAAACCAAGAATGATCATAAGAGATAAAGAAGGTTATTACATACTGATTAGGGGCAAATTTCAAGAGGAAGAGATAACCATCTTAAATATATATGCACGAAATTCCAGAGCACTCAGTTATATAAAGCAAGTATCAATAATAATGAAAAACCAAATTAGCAATAACACAATTACAACAGGAGACCTTAACACATCATTCACACCAAAGGACAGATCAACCAGACAGAAAAATCAGCAAAGAAATAACAGAACTGAATCACACCTGTGAACAAATGGACTTGATAGACATATATAGAGTGTTCCATCCCACAACATCAGAATATACATTCTTCTCAGCAGTACATGGGACATTCTCTAAAATAGACCATGACTAGCCCACAGAACATATTTAAATAAATTCAAAGGATTTGAAATTATCCCATGCATGTTATCAGATCATAGTGCCATGAACCTAAAAATTAATGATAAAAGATACTGCAAAAATCCCACAAAAACACGGAAACTGAATAACACACTTGAGTAACCAGTGGGTCACAGGAAATTAAAGAAGAAGTTAAACAATACCTACAAGCAAACAAAAATACAGATACAACTCACCAGAATCTGTGGGATGCACTAAAAGCTGTCCTCAGGAAAATTTATTGCGCTGAATTCCCACATCAGGAAAACAGAATGAATACAAATAAATAACCTAATGCTACACCTCAAACATCTAGAAAAAGAAGAGCAAGTCAAGCCCAAAGCCAAAAGAAGGGAGGAAATTATAAAAATCAAAGCAGAAATTAATGCAATAGAGACTAAGAAAACAATCCAAAGATTCAATGAATCAAAGAGTTGGTTCTTTGAAAGAATAAATAAAATTGATATGCCCCTAGCCAACCTTATTTTAAAAAAGGGAATAAAAAGCTCAAACTCATGCAATAAGAAATGAAAAAGTTGAAATCACTAGACTCTTCAGAAATATAGAAGATCATCAATACCTATTTCAAAAACCTCTACTCTTATAGGTTTGATAACACAGAAGAAATAGACAGATTTCTAGAAGCATGTGAAGTAACAAAGCTAGGTCAAGAAGATGTAAAACTGTTGAATAACCCAATTTCTATTAATGAAATTGAAAATTAAGTCCTTACCTACAAAGAAGAGCCCAGGCCCAGACAAGTTCACTGAGGAATTCTACAAGAAATACAAAGAAGACTTAATGCCAACACTCCTCAAACTCTTCAATGAAATTGAAAAGGAAGCAGTCCTTCCTAAGTCATTCCCAGAAGAAAATATTACTCTAGTACCAAAACCTGAGAAAGACCCAACTAAAAAAGACAACTACAGGCCAATCTGCCTAATGAACACAGATGCAAAAATCCTCAATAAAATATTGGCAAATAGGATGCAGCAAATCATCAAGAAGATTATACACCATGACCAAGTGGGATTCTTTCCAGGCATGTAGGGATGGTTCAACATACGTAAATCAATAAATGTAATCCACCATATCAATAAAGCCAAAAGTAAGAATCACATGATCATTTCTATAAATGCAGAAAAAGCTTTTGATAAGGTCCAACATTCATTCATGATAAGAACCTTACAGGAAATTGGAATAGATGGTCTTTATCTCAATATGACAAAGGCCATCTATGACAAACCAACAGCCAGTATCATACTAAATGGCCCAAAACTGAAAATCTTTACCATGAAATTAGGCACAGGACAAGGATGTCCCTAATCTCTGCTCCTATTTAATATAGTACTGGAAATACTAGCCAGAGCAATTAGACAAGAGAGAGAAATAAAAGGGGTAAAGATAGGAAAAGAAGAAGTTAAATTATCATTATTTGTGGATGACATGATACTCTACATATCGGAAGCAATCTTAGTGAACTGTCCCTCAGACAAAGGACTTCTGTCTAAAACATATAAAGAATTTTAAAAAATCAGATCCCCAAAATTCAAAGATCCAATCCAAAAATGGGCATCTGAGATGAATACACAATTCTCAGATGAAGAAATACAAGTGGCAAATAAATACATGAAAAAGTGTTCATCATCATTACTCATTAGAGAAATGCAAATTAAAACCACACTGAGATTCTATCTCACTCCTGAAAGAATGTTCAGGAGCAAGAAAACTACCAACAACAAATGTTGGAGAGGCTGTGGGGAAAAGAAACTCTCCTGCACTGTTGGTGGGAGTGTAGACTGGTGCAACCATTGTGGAGGTCAGTCTGGAGATTTCTCAAAAAGCTGGGATTGGAAGTCCCATTTGTTCCAGCTATTTCATTTCTGACCGGAGCCGCGGGAGACAGGAGACCAAACTCGAGCAGGATCAGCTCTCAAACTTTATTACGTACAGCGAACCGGACCTGACAAGGTCCGCCACCCTCGGTGTTGATTCCTCTTCCGCCGTTGGGGGCAGGAACAACCTCTTATAAGGGGAAGCAGTATCCAATCACAGAGAAGCGCGTCTAACAAGCTGATAGGCTAGCGTCACGGGTAACTGGGCAGACATGACAATTTGGCGGGCTTGTTCAGGCCGGGAAGAACCCGGAAGCAGGAAATGGGCGCCATTCATAGGCGGCTTCCCACATCTCCCCCTTTTTTATTTATTAAAATAGGATGGTCTGTGGGTCCCTCCAAGGTGTCTATGACGTTGTTGCTGTTAGACACCTAGGAGTGGGCCTACCTTGTAGGCCGAGGCATGAGAGAATGTAGAGGTCTATACCCTGCTGTGCATCACCCTGTTTTGTGCATATCCTTGCGCCAGGACCATGCTCAAGGTGAGTGGTTCATTTTTTCGCAGGGCCAGGCTTTTGTGAACCGAACCTGGATGCATATAGACATTCATTCCTGCCTTCCCCCCAACCTTTGAGGCGGATGGCACTGCAGTACCCTTGGTCTCGCATCTCAATGCCAATAATTTGACTCCGGGAGGGACCCCTGGCCTTATAGGCCATGTATATCTGAGTGGAGCCTGTCTTAGGTTGACTGGGAGGGCTTTTCCCGTCTTACCCGTCATTGGCTTGCCCACTCAGCTCTTACAGCTGATGTTCTGCAATGTGAAGGAGATATGCGGCGGCCTGCTGGCCTGATGGGCCACCTGCTGCCATTTGCATGGCTGCCATAGCTGTGATCTTAACCTGCTGCTGAGTTTGTATGAGGCAATCTAACAAGCATTTAATAACCACAAGCCCTACTAGGATAGCCATGGCAATTAGCATAATCAAGGACTGTTTGATTGATGGTGTAAACCCTGGGTGAGGCGGGCGAGGCCGCCGAAAAAGGTGCCAATGTGGGCGGGTGGTGCCAAGGACCCCAAAGATATTGTGGTGGTTCTGTGGAATCTGAGCATATCACAGGGGTGATTAATAGGAACCCTCAGAATAGAAAAAGCTCCAAACCAGACATTTTAGTTTGTAGATGGTCTCGGGCGCTGAGCGTCGGTCCCAGAAGGGTCGAGTTGACTTGTGTCCGCGGGCTTATCTTCCTGTGCTTTATCAGGAACTGGTGGGGAGTTTACTGCTCGCGTCAATCTTTCCGGGACCCACAGCGGTTCGCGACCTGGTTCCTGTGGGAAGACACAAACCGCACCTCGGGTCCAGCTAATCACTGGATCCGGGCCCATCCATTGTCCTGTAAGGACATCTTTCCATCTAACCAGCCCTTTAACATCGCCTGGAAAGCGACGTAAGACTTCCTGTATTATCTGGAGCTCGACCACCTGGGGTTGGTAGTTTTTGGCTCTTGACCCATAACCACATATGCGCCTATGCCTGATTTGGAGCCATCCGTGAATATTATTGGAGCTCCAGTTATGGGGTATGCGGATGTAACCTTGGGAAAAATCACAGGGTGTAATTTCTAAGGGCTCATAATATCCTCCTCCTCCCCTGCCTCCTACTTGTACCGGGAATGCATGGAGACCGGAACACTCAAAGGGAAGCCATGACCATACCCTCTGGTGGAAGGAACGTCCTCCTCCCTCCCCAGATGGGGGCGCAGAAGGCAACCCAGGAAGTAGCTCTCCCTCTAACCAGGGCGGTGCCATAGGTTGTGGTGGCAGCCCAGGGAGCAACTCCTCTTCCGGCCACGGCGGTGCAGTGGGGCCTGGCGCCCTGAAGGGAGCGACCATGGGGGGCAGGGTGGTGTTTGGTTCCCCTTTTTATCTTCCCGAGCCCTAAGTTCCTCTTTTAACGGTGTAGGAGGGTCATGCTTAGCAAAGACGACCTCCTCTTCTGAGCCTTCCGAATCCGAATCAGAATTAGAGCCCTGAGGGTCCTCCGGAGACCCACAATCGGCAGTGGCTCCGGGCTCCTCTGAGCATTCCGATCGAGCTCTATCAAAAGCCTGTCGGGCTGTATTAGCGAAGCGAAAGCAAAACAGATGCAAAGGGAAAAGAAAAGAAAAAAAAAACCCAGCGTCCACTCGTGTGGCGCTCAAAATCTGTTAGGTGCGTCCACCCAACCCAGGTGACCCAGTACTCACCTGTCCCGGGAACCGCTGTATCTCACGTAGCTGATCAGGGTGAAGAGAAGAGGTGCTCGCGGCCTTCCGTTGTTATTGGGCCAGGTCCTCCGTCGTACCGCAGGCGACAGCAATCGCACCTCCCGGCCGAAGAGGCACGTCGCTGAGTCTTTTATTCCCCGTACGGGGGCCACCAGATGACCGGAGCCGTGGGAGACAGGAGACCAAACTCGAGCAGGATCAGCTCTCAAACTTTATTACGTACAGTGAACCGGACCTGACAAGGTCCGCCACCCTCGGTGTTGATTCCTCTTCCGCCGTTGGGGGCAGGAACAACCTCTTATAAGGGGAAGCAGTATCCAATCACAGAGAAGCGCGTCTAACAAGCTGATAGGCTAGCGTCACGGGTAACTGGGCAGACATGACAATTTGGCGGGCTTGTTCAGGCCGGGAAGAACCCGGAAGCAGGAAATGGGCGCCATTCATAGGCGGCTTCCCACACATTTCTAGGCATATTCCCAGAAAAACTGAAAACATCATACCACAGTGATATATGTGCACCCATGTTTATAGCAGCGCAATTTGTAATAGCCAGATGTTGGAAACAACCTCAGGGTCAATCATCTGATGAATGGATAAAAAAAGTTGTGGTGTTTTTATACAATGGTGTAATTACTCAGCTATAAAGAATGATCACATTGATATATTTATAAATAAATGGACACAGTTTGAGACCATACTCATAAGGAAATAAATCAAACTCACGTGTATAAATACCGAATAGTTTCCCTAGTGTAAGAAACGGTAAGAATACATAAAATAATGTGGTAATCATGATTCCCCATTATATTGCTTTGAAGCTTTATAATGTTTTCATTCATTAATTGGAATGGTTTTATTCTGGGTTGTTTGGTTTTATTGTCTGTGATGGTATGAACAGCTATTTTGAAGAAAAGAAGACGTTATAATAGCTAGTGATGATTTAATATCTTGATTGGAAGTCTCACTAAGCTTTTGTTCTTCTGTCTCCATCGGTTTTATCATATTGTATCTTATTGGGTTTTATTATATGTGACAGTATAAACAAAATTTTTATAGACAAGGAGATAAGATAGAAACCATTGTTCATTTTCTGTTAGTTGGTTCTGAATACCCTGTTACACTTTCATTCTCTTAAACGATTTTACACTGTCTTTTTATGTTTGATACTATAGTATATGAAGGTATAGTCAAATATTTCCAGGAAAGAGACATTATGATTGCTACTGTTATGTTGGGTTGCCTTGTGGTGGAACACTATGTTGCTTAAATTGTTCTGTTCTGACCTGTGTTGTTATGTCCTCTTTTATCTTAATCTTTTTTAAAATTAAAAGGGAAAAAAAAGAATTATCTACACTTCATCAACCTTTGTCAAAATAGCTGTTCTTTCACATTGAATTGCTCTTGTAACTTGGTCAAAATGAGTGGCTCTGGGTGTGTGTTTGTGTGTGTTTTATTTGTTAACCTTGGTTCTAATATGAAACAGTCTTGATTACTAGGCTATAGAAGTTTTGAAATGCGATGTTGTCAGATTCTTTAACTTTCTCTTCCTTTTCAAAATTGTGTGGCTATTATAGATCCTTCATATTTCCCTATGAACTTTAAGATCATCTCCAAAAATGTCTACAGGGTTTTTGATTTGGATTGCCCTTATTCTACCAAAAGACTCAGTTTAGGGTCTGTTTGTAAGTCAATATTGACATTTTCAACACATGAACAAAAGTATTTATATATTTAGATCTTCATTAGTTTCTCTTAGTAATATGTTTCAGTGTGAAGGTATTTTGGCTTTCTACTGGGGGGACCTAGATGTTCCCCCAGTTGTCATAGGTGGGGCTTTTCAGAGGTGACTGGATCTAGAATGAGTGGTGCTGGGATTAAAGGTGTGTGATTACTACATGAGTCCATTGATTGATTTATCTTAGTTCTGGGTGTGGATAAGGGGAAGGGCCGCCGGGGTATGGATGGCACCTCTTGAAAGGCAGGTGGCCTGGAAGAGATAAAAGAGAGAAGCAGGCTATTTCTGCTGCTGCTTGCTGCTCCCTGCTCATTACCTGCCCTGCCCTGCCCTGCCATGAACTGTTTCTCCTCTGTGATGCCCCTCTGCCATCCTACCCTGCCTTGGAGCCAAGAAGACTACAGATGAAATCTCTACAAACTTTGAATAAATAAACTTTTCCTCCCTTAACTTATAGGTATTAGGTATTTTGTCCCAGCATTAAGAAAAGTGATTAAGACAACAGATATTCTACTAATGTGTCAGATGTATTTCTAAGTATTCACATTCTTAATATTGTTAGGAATGTTATTGCTTTATAGTTTCAGTTTCCAGTTGTTCAATGCTAATATATAGAAATACAATTGCTTTTCATCTTATGTCCTGTTTTCTTGCTCAAATTCACTTATTGGTTCTGTTTTTGTTTGTTTTTGGTAATTGTTTTGAAACACAGATGATAATGTCATGTGAAAACAGCAGTTTTATTTCTTCTAATCTATCTCTTTTTTCTCAAGAAATATACTTATTCACTCATAATAAAGATTGCATATAGACTCTAATTTTTAAAACTTTTATTGTTTCATTTTTGATACTCTATGCTTTTATATCAAGTTCACTAACCTTTTCTCCTGTGAAGTCTAATGTGTCATTAATTTCATTCAACAAATTTTCATCTTCCATATCATGGTTTTCATGTCTCAAAATTCCATTTTTTCTTTTGTATTATTCTACTTAGCTTTTTTAATGTGAAGAATACATTTCTCATAGTGGTCTCAATGGCCTTGTCAATTTTGATAACTATGTCAGTTCTAGGTCAGTTTTGATTAATTTTCCTTTTTATGGAAAGGTAATTAGAGAACCCAAGGGAGACCAAAGGAAATCCAGGCATGGTGGCACATGCCCAAATTCCCACTACTGAGGGAAACTGAGCAAGAGGATCCCAAGTTCAAACCCTACTGATATAAACCCTGTTTCAAATAGATCTTTCTCAAATAGGAAGAAATAGAGGGAGGGAGGAGGAAGAAGAGGAGAGGTGGTATTAAAAAAAATGGAATTAAGTTGAGTTATGTACAAGTATTAACTCCACACAAGGAATGTAAATATTATATACTACAAACATGTGCTAATAGAAATAAATTAAAAAAAAAACAATTTTAAAAAGGTACCAAAAATGTAGCATAGTGATAGAATAGTGTGTTTGATATCCAGTATCATGGGGGTTGACAGGGAAAAAGGGAGACCTTAGTATGAAAACATTATCAGACCTAAAATAAAGTAGTTTGAATAATGATACAAAATCAGAAGATCTGTGGAAAATATCTTCTAAGGTAATTGTATATGTATATATTTGAACATATATATTCATTAAGAAATTGGGAATACAGAATTGCTACTCATGAGAAAAAGGTTGAAAATTAAATGAATGAACAGTAATAATATTAGCAACAACAGGGAATTTGAAACTTGGAGAAAGCTAAAAACACGTATGAGATATCCTGCTATTATCATGAAGTGAACTATACTGCCTGATTTGAACAACTGATGGAAATGAACAAGCAGTAATTTCTGAAATAATGAAGCAAAATTTCTGATTCTCAGGAAGTCAAAGAGCACCAACTAATGTTTTCCATTCGTGTGTACTTTCTTTAGGTCTGTCATAATTACTAGATTTAATCATATTCCTGTAATATTTTTAGCTTCATTTTCTCCCCTATATTTTTAATAGGTTATTTTCCATTTATACTTATTTATTTCCTATGAAGTTTCAAACTTTTTACTTAAAAATTTTTGTTGTTGTCAATTTATCACTGTAGTGGTATCCCCAGATGATTAAAGGCAGTTGATGAAGTATTACTTCTTGGAAATTTAAACTTATGCTCATTAAGAAGCACACTTTGAAAAACTCTCACATAATTAAATCTCTTAATGTTTTTAAAAAATATTTTTTATAGCTTCAAAGAAAAATTTCGAGATGGAATAGTTCTTGTTTTAAAGAAATGATCTGAAGTTCAGTGATGCTTATAGTTTCCTTTTAGTTTATTTTTTCTATCAGATGGAAATAAAATTATGTCTCATAACTTCACTTGAAAAGCAGAAAGATATATTGATGGTCTCTGTATTGCGTGAGAAATTTATCATTCATTTATTTCTTATATCTTCTCCCAAGACTCAGGTTTCATTAATTTTAAGAAACCTGAGACTTATACATGTATTATTTTTTTATATTACCATTTATGTTATTTATCAACGCTGTGGCTAAAGAATAACATTTGGCATTATTACTATCTTTAAAGACAATGAATGTAATTATTTTGACTTACGTTACTGCAAATAGTTTTTCCTGTGAAGCAGTGAGATGCATGCCAGTACAACTGTCTCTGCCCAATCCTGTGCTCTGGGAACTTTATTAGACCCAGGTAAGATTTCTGAAGTCTACCCTCTTATACTGCTCCAAACCACCAGCAAATGTCACTGCTCTTTCTGTTTCTTATAATTACAGTGTTTTCAATCTTATCCTGTAGTTTTCTGCAAAAGTCAATCTGTTATTCATTTATTTAGTGATTGTTTTTAATTTTCACAATGTTTATTGTGACAGCTTTCCTTCTTTTTATTGTTATTTCTTTAATATTGTTTTTAATTTATTGTTTAATTTATTGTTATTGTTTTAATTTCACAAAGTCAATATTATTTCTTGAGAACAACAAAAGAACATTTTAGGGAGGAATTTCTTCAAACAAGAATTTTTTTCTCTGTTAAATTGATACCAAGATTTGAGATTATTTACATTTTTTAAAATGTATTTTAACTAATAACTGGCTTTTGAGCAACCTCTTTGATTTAAATTTTAGTGGTTACTATAGGGTTTATCATACCCACATCTATAATTTTTTATTGTGTATTTAATCTTGTCTTGTTTCACATAAAATGTAGGAAACTTCTAACTATATAAGTGCAATTATTTCCAGCCCTATTCTTCATGTTATAGTAGCTTTATTTATTTCCTGTGTACATTATGAACCCCAACAAAGGAAAATTTCTTTAAGCAACTTTATATATTCTAAATACATAGTAGAAATAAATAATATTATATATTTACCATTTCTGATGCTCTTCATTTTTTCCTGAAGACTTGGTTGCTAATTGGTTTAATTTTTCTTTCCTTTTAAA